GTTCTTTGGAATGCAGACCCCCTTTTTGCTTGCAAAGATAACATTAGGAAATAAAATGATGTTAAATATTGCTAAGGGTTAGTTTGAAAAATAATGATAAATAAAAATAAGAAAACTTTCCAAAAAATGAATAAAAGTCAAAAACAAAAATAATCCCAATTTTTTTTTTGAAAATGCAACTAAAGTTTACGCGAGAAATAAATCTAATAATGGTAAGAAAATAAATCTAACGATGAAAACAAAATAACAATGAAATAAATCTAATAAACGACTAAATGGACTGATAAGTGGGGTCCCGCATTCAACGTGGGCGGCATGCGTGAGTCTCTGAAAGCTGGCGTTAAAGATCGAGAATCTCCCTGGAGAGGTAATCTGCCTCCTCTATATGAGTGGCATTTTCTACCTCCATCTGATGTGTAAGGTCAATGATTTGCTCTTAAAGACTAGCAATCTCCTGGAGCATGGCAATAAGTCGTGATCTCGGTCACTCCATTATGCGGAACCAGTGGAGGAAGATGCAACAGTCCTATCTGAGAGGGGTAAAGGGTGATAATAGGTGTAGGTGGGGTGGCTAGTCTGAATGGTGTTTCGCCTTGGTCCTCTAAAGCATAAATCCAATTTTCACTATTTTATACATTTGTTCTTTATGGGTTTGGCAGATAGAAGTGTTGTAGAATGACTTCATTATTAATGAGAATTTTGTACTCATTAATCCTGAAGTAAACTCGTCATACCATGCCTCTTTCAAGACAATGATCCAAGTCCATAAGTGTAAAACCACAATAGGGTACTAGGTGGTTTAGCTTGTTTTGGAGGCCAAGGGCAGAAGCAATTTGGGTAATTGTCCCTCCTACAGGGATATGTCCTACTAAAGATAAGGCTATATGTCTTAGGTTTACTATGAGAAATGTGCCTGACTCAACAAGATCATATTTGATGACGTAGTAGAGGATAAATAGCTCTTCCTCACTCACGAGCTCACTGGTGTCACTTCGACCAAAGAATGTTAGGGATAAAATCATCTGGAAATACCTAAGTTCTGGCTTACGGATACGATTTGAAAATTGTATGGATGGGTCAGGGTTACTGTTACCGGTGATATATTTCCAGAAGGTGTCTAGGGTGTCCTGCATGTTAAGATTAACAGGAACTTCAGGTGCGACAGTTGGACCATATTAGAATCCTAAGAGGCGACCTAAGTCTCTGTGGTTTACCCTATATTCTTGCCCAAATAACCTAAAGGAAATATGCCCTCGATAGAACCCACGACCTTGAGTTGGTTGGTAAATAAGTGAGCTAAGGAACTCAAAGGTGAGTTTTTGGTAGGTGAGTTTTTTGGTTTCTGCATACTCATCCCATTCTAATTGGTTACACATGTACCTAATGCTAGAATTAATCCCCAAGGCTTCCTTACAAGTGGAGTCAGGGTATCTGGTGGATAACATAGGTCTCTCAGATAGGACTGTGTAGCGGTTCCTCTAGTCGTCATCTCTTAACTGGATTTCCATGTCATCGAAGTTCTGCATTATGAAAATATAGTTAGAATAAGATAGTAGAACTATGAGACCTGAAATGTAAGAAATCACATAAGTTAGAAGAAATAATTCATCGTTTTAAAGAAAATTAGTAAAATAATAAAAAGGAAGAATCATGGTTGCCTCCCATACAGTGCTTCATTTAATGTCGGTAGCTCGACTAAGAATAAATCATGGTGACTCTATCGAGAACGAGTTCAATTTCCAAGGCCATTTATCGAGTCATCTCTCATATCTTTCAACTTTTCTTTTCTTTCCACTGTAGAGTTCATGTCTTAGGTATGGTGGGGTAGTTCTGGCTCTATCTTAGATATTGGATTCTATAGTTTGGTGTCATCCCCTTCGCTTTTTACTGCAAAGGTTAACATTTTGTTTCTAAATTTTTTTTTTATATTTCTAGTTCTATGGTTTGCTAATTATTTTCTTTTATGTGGGGCCTTATACCTTTCTTTTCTGACTGCGAATCTATCTTGGTTTCTAAGAAATTTGGTGGAAAGAGATTTCTAATCTTTTCTTTAATGCAGTCTTCCTTAATCACATTATTTCCTCCCTTATGCTTTTCTACTGGGTTTTCACTACCGATTGTTCTAACATCTTCATGCTTCTCAGTGGAGAGTCCTAAAGGTGCATGTACAAGCAGTGATATTTTTGTTTCCAATTTCTTGTTGCTAGTTACTAGAGACTTGACTATAATATTTAGTTTCCTAAGTGTTTCATTGACGTGAAGAATTTTGTTTCTAAATTCCTTATTCTGGATGGTTTGTGTTACTACAAACCTTCGCATTATAGATTCTAGCCTAGAGAGGGTTTGCGTGTTAACAAAGTTCTCTACTAATATTTCGAGGTTTGATTTATAAGGGTATTATGGTCCCTAGAAATAGTGGTAATTGTAGGAAAATTTTAGGTGATCCATTTAAAAGTGTGCATTAATCTAGACGGTGTAACAACAAAGTTATGATATTTGACGTAATTGGTCCTGGACAACGGTGCCAAAAGCTTGGTGGAGTTATTTAGTAAATGAACAAAAAGTATTAGAGTGATATAAAGAGTGTCGTACCCACAGAGACCTAATAGTCAAGCTATCATTATCTATTGCTACGGTATTTATCTAAGGCAAAATAAAAATAAGTGTTTTGGTTGTGAAAATAGAGTAAAATAATAAACTTAAATTAATTCAGAAATACAATGTTGGAATGTGGGTCTCATTAATTCATTGGTACTCTTATTGTTCCTGAATTGAACTACCTATGGGATAATATTTTCCTCTTTGAAAAAGAACTAATTAAAAAGGAATCGTCGATGTCGCGTAATCAAAATCAAATTTTACTCTCTAATTTATATAGTTCGTTATCGCGTGCCCGACGCGTTTTGCTTTAAAGAATTAAACCATTTTTAGAAATAAGTTTCTTTTAATCAAATGAAAAGTTGTTTTGATTGGAAAATAAGAATTTAAAGGATTCCCGGTGTTCGCTCGGTTAATCGTACCTTGAACTTACAAACGCGTCCGAAAATAGGTTCAAAAGTATTTTATTAAAATACTAACCTTCCTAATTAATTAACAAATAGCTTTCACGGTTTTTATTAATTAAAAATTAAACAACCTTAATCTTTCGTACCAGACGACTGTCGATCTTACTCGATGTATAAATGGTTCTACTTTCGTAGTAATCGACAATTTTAAGTTTAGAAAAGTTGTGATTAAAACCAAAACAACCCCATAAGCTTTTCTCGAGAACAACAATTTGGAGTATCATCAAATTCACAGTCCTCACATTCCAATAATTATAATTTAGCTAGACATGATTGTAACCTGCGATAAAACAATTAGTTCGTTTTTGAAAGAAAACATAGTAGACATAATGATTAAAATTTTAAAGATGTAATTGGAATAAAAGTAGAAGAAGAACATGCAATTGGAATAAATTCAGATGACCACATCCACAAGTTATCTTTTTCTATGTCCTCTTTTTTCCTTCACTCTGCTTTCCATCTTCTTCCTTGAGTCTTTTTGTCTCTTCCATTTTCTTGGTGCTCTCTTTTCTTGCACTAATTCCTTTTCTTTGTCTCTCACCTTTGATATAATGACTGCCCCTAGCAATTCTACAACACTTTCTATTTCCTACTTGCTTTTCCTTGCCTCTGAATCCCCTTTGATTTTTGTTCATCATTCTTATGTCCATTCGTTCTTCCTTTTAAGACTAACTGTCATGTTTTAGTATATGTTCCTTTTGCTTGCTTCTATTTCCTTACTCTATCTAAGGGACTAAAAAAATATTTTTGCTACATTTGTTTGAGTTTTATTTCTTCTTTATATCCTCTTAGACATTTGACAAGAATCCAAACGATATTTTGTTCTTTTCTATCTCTTCAAATCCATCTTCAACCACCTCTCATAGCTCATCACAATATTTCAGTTTGTGTCTTATCTTTCCACATACAAATCAAAAGGTGGGTAGTTGTTAATACTTTAAGAATATGTTTGCACTTTTTTTGGTATCTAACCACTGTGCCCTCCTTCAACTTTTTCCTCGGGTCAACTTTGACCTTGATTCACATAAATCTTTCCATCATATTTTTCTCTTTGGGATCTACCTCTTTGAAATCACTAATGATGTCACAAAATTATTTGTCGTTGATTATGACCTTAGTTTGAGGGGTATGTCATATACACGAACTTAGAAGCTCCAAAATACATCTTCACAGTCTTCGTCTCTAGATACTCTTTCTAGAACCATCAATTTTCTATCGAAACTCCAGGGTCCCCCATGTAGCACATTATCCACACTCCCTTTTCGAAAAGAGTTGAAAAGAACATATTTTTGTCTATATTTGGAAGAGATCCTAGAAAAAAAGAGGAAAACATAATAAATTTTAGAGAAAAAATCTCACTTGCTTCTAAAAACACATGAGACATCTCCTACATAATCAACGAAATATCATATCATCATATATCTCACTTGATATATCACCTCATTTTCGACCTAATTTTAGTCATAAGAGCCAAATGTCAAGAATCTTAAAAGTTGATCAAATTTAAAGCATTAGAAATTGAGAGACTACAATCTTAAAATTGAATAAAATGGGAAACCAATATTAAAATAAATTATTGATTTTAAAATCAAACTATTTAAATTATCAAATATGGAAATCTAAGTTAACTATAGTTGGCATAGGTGGTTGGAAATTTCACTCAAACTTGTTGTGGCTTGAGTTTAAATCTAAAACTATATACATTTTACATAAAAGTTGCATTTTAATAAATTCTTAATGAAATTGATGATTCTTCCTAAACTTTGTACATAGGCATGTCTCCCATATTCCAAATTTATATTTTTTCATCAAACAAAACAAAATCTAAATAAACAAATCATGATTTTTATGGAGTAATGAACACTTCCATTTTTTGTACTATGTTTTGCATTTGACTTGTTATGTTAGAGAAAAACATCATCACCATTTGCATCTATGGCTAAACCCCATCGCCTCATTCTCCTTCTTCTCATCCTCTTCGTTACTCTTCAATCTTCTCCCACATTCGTTTCTGCTTCACCCTCAAATCACATCTACAACGTTGGACAAAATGTCCCATTTTTCGTCAACAAACTAGGACCCTTCAACAATCCAAGGTCACTCTCCTTCCTTCACTTCCATTCTCATTCAATTTTCATTCAATTTCTGATTAATTATTCCCTTTTTCAGTGAAACATATCAATACTATCAATTACCATTCTGCAAACCAGGTAAATCACTCTAATTAGGTTCCAATTTTTATCTCATCGTGTTCAAAATTCAAAATCAAAATCAAATTTTTTTAAGGGTTTTTTGAAAAAGGATTTGTTTTTCACAGACCCAATAGTGGAAAAGAAAGAATCCCTTGGTGAAGTTCTCAATGGTGATCGTTTGACAAATGGGTTGTATGAGTTCAAGTTCAGGGAAGACAAGATTGATGAAACATTGTGTAAACAGAAGCTTACAGTTGATGAAATTGGAACCTTCAAGCAAGCTATAAACAATGAATTTTACTTTCAGTTTTATTTGGATGATCTTCCATTTTGGGGGTTCATTGGGAAGCTTGAAGATGAAAGCTTCAGTCATGATGGGGGAGGATTAAAATATTACCTTTTTACACATGTTCAATTTGATGTTCTTTATAATGGGAACGGGGTCGTAGAAGTGAAAGCGTTCGGTGATCCGAATCGAGCTGTAGATATAACCAAAGATGTTGAAATTGATAATGTTAAGTTCAGTTATTCGGTTATCTGGAATAACACCGAACTACATTTTGAGAATAGGATGGAGAGATACTCGAGAGCTTCGTTGCTGCCTTTGTATCGTCAAGTTCATTGGTTCTCTTTCGTTAACTCAATTGTCATCATTTTGCTTTTGGTTGGTTTGCTTGCCCTGATTTATTCAAGACACTTGAAGAGTGATATGAAAAAGTAACTTTGTTCTCTTTTTTTGTTGTTGATAATGATTTTACAATAGTAGAATTGTACTAAGTTATTTTTTATTTGTTAGGCTAACTATCTTCGTTTTACGATTTAGGTATTCTAGTGCAAATGAAGAAGATAGGGAGGTTGGTTGGAAGTCGATTCATGGCGATGTATTCAAACATCCTCCAAACTCGTCCTTGTTGTTTGCTGTCGTGGGAACGGGTACCCAATTGCTAATCTTGTAAGCTACTTTAGTGTTTGAATTTTAAATGCATCCTTAAGATTCTTTAAATGGCATTGTCATGCCAACGATATATGAAGGCGTGCGATGTATAGTTACATCTCTGCACCAACCAGCCTATCTAATTAATTAACTAAATCATTAGACATGATTTGTAGTATATGTTGGTTGATCCATAAAGCCAATGTTTCGCCTAGTGGGAGAATGCTTTTGTTGTTGTAACCAAAGGCCATTGTTGTTAAATAACGGCTCTATAGCATAGCAGAATTTGAACAAACGGCTATTGTTTTACAATGTGCTATAGTGCTCTATATCATTGTTGTGTAGTGGAATTTGAACAAACTATTTCTGCAATCCGCAATTGACAATACTGCCAGAGGCAGACATTCTTACTTGTGAGAAACAGTCGATAAATTCACCTATAACCTATAAAGGTTCACTTCTGTGTTACTAACATAAACTCGTTATTGTTTCTCAATCTTTCGATAAAGTAATCCTTTCTTTTCCATTTAACTTCTGTATTCCTAAGATAAACTTGTTAACTTTTCACTCTGTTCCTCTTTTAACTGATATGCACTTTTTTTCAGGCTTTGTGTCATACTGTTCCTAGCATTTATCGGTACCCTCTATCCATACAATCGTGGCGGACTCTCAAATTGTCTTGTCTTTATATTCACTCTTTCATCTGTTTTTGCTGGTTACTCGACAGCATCCTTCCATGGCCAATTTGCTGAAGATGGATGGGTAATTCTACATCTATTTCACAAGGAAAAGAAATTGTTCCATTTTTCATTTAATTTCTAGCTTACCTAAATCTATTCTGTCTCATGACTAAAATTCCAGGAGAGGAGTGTTGGTCTAGCAGGAATTCTTTACATTGGACCAGTGTTTGTTACGTTCTCTATCCTCAACGTTATTGCAATATCTTACAGGGTTACAGCGAGACTCCCATTGGGCTCCATTATTGTGATTCTTTGTTTATTCGCATTTGTTGCAATCCCATTGCTTGCATTTGGAGGAGTGATTGGATACCGTTTAAGGTCTAAGTTTCAGGTCCCCTCTGCTACAAAGAGATATTCTAAAGAGATTCAACCGCTTCCTTGGTACAGGAGAACACCGTTTCAAATGTTTATTGGAGGTTTTGTGCCGTTTAGTGCAATTGTCCTGCAATTACATCAGGTATACGCTAGTATGTGGGGATACAAAATATTCACTCTTCCTGGTATTTTGGTTGTCACACTCATCACTGTCGTTGTGATTATTGCGCTCGTAAATATTGGCTTGACGTACATTCAACTATCCGAGGAAGACCATCATTGGTGGTGGAGGTATGTTGTGTTGCTGACATCAATGCTTGTTGCTTGCTTCCATAACATTTAATGTAACTTATTTTGTGTGCAGATCTGTGCTGTGTGGTGGTTCACCAGCCATTTTCATGTTCGCATATTGTATCTACTTCTATGCAAGATCAAGAATGAGTGGTTTCTTACAACTATCTATCTTCATTGGCTACAATGCATGCATATGCTATGCTTTCTTCTTGATATTTGGTGCCATCAGTTTCCGAGTTTCTTTGCTATTTGTTCGCCATATATACCATAATGTTAAAAGGGAGTGAGTCGTCAATGTCAATCACAGAGCAACATTGGTTACCAGTGATGAACTTTTCTTCCCTTTGGAAAGTGAAGTCTACACAGTATGATAACAGTTTATTCCCTGGTTGAATTATTCAACAAGGACATTTTGTGCTCAAATTGTATGCTCTATTGATGACTAAATATTGGACATTTTGGAAGAGCTTTGGGGTAAGAGATGAGGAATCATAAAGGATAGTTTGTTAGAATTGGAAACCTAGTGAATTAAGTTTCAAGTTTATGAAGAAGCCAACATGTTTGGTTGCACATTGACACACCATCACTGTGTTTTTTTTTTTTGAAAGAAACGCCATCACTGCGTGAGTTAACCAGAAAATGATATATCTTAATCATTCCTTCTTCAAATTGAGTAGCCTACTTTGAAGCTAATAAATCATTTCAAACTTACAAACTTGTGAATTATGGAAACAATTAACCATCTTAAGAGCTGCACACAATCTAAATAAAATGTTTTTTGAGACAGAGTAATAAAATAGTAAAAGAAATACAGTAAAGTAGATTCTGTGAGCCGGGGAACCTAATTGAATCTAATTAAAAAACAAAATGGCAATGTAACAAGCAAAACTATAAGATATTTGATGATGCATTCCACTCACTAGTACCGATTTAGGGAGGTGAAATTACAAAGTGGAGCATTAAAGCAGCTGGAATGCAGTATTTACAAGAGAACAACAAAGCTCTTTGAACACTTATGGTAGAAGAAAGCCACTATATGCATGTGTATAGATAGATTTTCATATTAGAGAGTGGATGAAGTTCTTGACTTCTGAATCTTATCATCTTCTGAAGGAGGTGATGATTGTGCTGCATGGTAAGATGAAGAAACAAGTTGTGCTAAAGCAGGAACAGCCCCACCTGAATTTATTCAAGAGAAAGAAATTGTTATCAATTCAACGACACAGTAAATCCAATGTTGTCAAGAAAAAATGGCATGTTCAAATTCTGCTATGCTATAGAGCTATATCACAGCTATAACCGCTATTAGCACTAAGTTGCATATCACAGTACAATAGCTATTTATTAAAATTCTGCTGCAATATAGAACTATAATTGCCATTTGAGAACCCTGAGTAAACCTATATCACAAGGATAAGAAAACAAATAGAAAGCTTAGCACTTATTCTTGAACTTGTCTGAAATTTTAGGTGATATATGTATCTTATCACCTTACCGAATTAAGCATGGTTTTCAATTTTGAAATTAAGGGTAAAGAATGGATAATGTAGTAGTACTATATAAGCCAAACAAGATAAGTAAAACATAATCAAAGGTGTACCTGCCAGTCCTGCGCATACTGAGGAGAATACTATCACAGGCGGTGTCTGAAATCAGAGTTTTCAATCAGTTTGATGATAACAAACATCAAGTACTGCTGAAATAAGAAAATCTCCTAGTAGGTTTTCTGCTATGTGTAAAAGTTCTACAGTAGTGGATACCGATGAATTCTATTTCAGATATTCCACTATGTAAAAGATATCCATATAAACCAAACATGAGAGCAGCCACATAAAACCAATTTTAAAGAAAAATATATGTAAGAGAAGAGGTTTTTTATTTTTAGAACAAGATCTAATTCGAATTCTATGAGGGTTGAAACAACTAAATGACTTTAAAACATAAAAGAGAAAGCAAGAAAGCTAGGGTGTCTAGATAGGAGAACACAAAGGGTAGAGAGCATGTTTTGTGAAAGGGAAACTCTTGAGGAGAGATTCTCTCCTATTTCTTCATAAAATTGTTATTTTCTTGGAATCCAATTCTGGGGTTCCTAACCATTTAAGATCCCTAATCTAAGAGTTTAAAGCTAGTGAGTAATATATGTACCTCAAGAAATCATTAAAGTACGAGGAATAGGTATAAACAAGCAAAGGGAAAAACTATAAAAGGGATACATATAGTAGAAGACTGATGAAAAATAAGAAAGAAAGAAAAAAAGAGGATCAAAAGGCTCAAGAAACTTACACCAACGAGAAAATGTACCCACATCGGTCCTTTTACCCATCTATGAACAACTGGCATAACTGCATTATAAATTAAAAAAGGGAATCCTTATGAATAATAATAATAGTCCAGCTCGTTAACATTAACAACAAAAAAAAAAGCCAATAAAGCTTCATACTATCAGTTTGGAACATGAACAGTTTCTGCAATTACAGTATAGAATGTTCCTTTCCACCTTATAGTTTAAGGCCACAAATCCCCCAACTAAAGCTTGAATGCAGTGCATCTTAGCTGTTTTAACGACAGTATTTTAAGTTTTCAAATAGACTAAATCAATAAGATAAATTAACACTCTACTAGGGTGGAGCTTTGATTTTAAGTTTTTTTGCCCGAAGAGCGCCATCAGGCAAAAAAGAGCATGGGTCAGGTGATCTCTCATTCCTCCAGAAACAGACAATTCCGTCCTCTAGACACGTCGATTACCGTCTGATTAGATCCAACGGCTATCTGCACAACACTCCTCACCTCACGCAGACAATTTTAACCGCTCTCACTATATAAAGAGAAAAACGCATCCTTTCAGGTATTTAAATTCGGCTGATATCACATTTGTGTGCTTTATTCGCAAGAATATCAAACTGATAAATCACAATCACATTACATATTTTTGATGTATATGAGTATAAATAACATAAAAACACATACCATGATTGAATCCATAGAATGCACTTGTGGTGCCACCAACAGCAGAACCAATCTAAAAAAAAAAAAAAAATGAAAACCCTAATAACGATGAAAAGGCTAAAAAAATTGATTTAGAGAATTTTACCATAGAAAAGCTATCCCTAATAAGTGGTGCAACGGTCCATTTACTGGTTTCCTGCAAAAAAAAAAATTGAAAAGGGGAATGAAATTGAATTGAGGGAAAAGAGATGAAGCTGGGAAGTGGAAAATACCGTCTCTTTTGAAAGGGGACCTGCGCAATGATGGCATCGAATGTTTTTAGTGGAAGCCATTGTTTCTCTGTTCTGCGTGCTATGGTTTCTCTGTTCTGGAATTATAATTAGGGATACTGTTTTTATATAAAAATATGCTAAGATGCTCCTCAATTGTGTTGATCCCTTTTCAAATCAAATTTATCATACACTAATTTTCATGTCAATTTTGTTTTTAACAATAAATAATTTTATAAATGTTAAGGTGTTATATTTTTTTTGGATTTTTTTTTAAATAATTATTTTTTTTCAAAAAAAATATTCAAATAATTACTTTTCAAATAAAAAAAATTTGCCACATAAAGGAGTCGTCACTCTGTGTGGCGCATGCATATAAAATAGAGAGGAGGCGCCACACTGCATGACTTGTCCTCTTATGTAAAGTCATGCAGTGTGACACATGCATGTATAATTAGAGAGAAAACGTCATCTTATGTGGCTTGACAGTTGTATATGGTTTTTTTATATACAATCATCCATCTTCTTCATTTTTTCACATCATTTCTCACATCACTCTTAGAAAATGTCTTTCATTCCTCTGCCTAGGATTTCACTGATCAAAAGAGATGCACATGTTATTTTTTCAGCAACAAAGTCTCCGATGAAGATCAAACTCTGGAACACGCAGACATTCGAGCATTTTCAAAGACACTTGATTCGCTGGTTAGAAGGAGACATTCCTGAAGGTGAACAAATCAGAAAAATTGAAAGACAAATTACAATGAAGAACAAAAATGGAGTAAGTCGATCATGGAAAAATGTGAGATGTGACGTTGATGTCATGATGATGATGCTTGGACCAGACGATATTATGTTGAGGAGTTTTACCTCTTAGATATTATGATGTGTTTAGTTATTTTGTCTGCTTATCATGTTATTGTGTTGTTGTCCTGAATTCGTCGTGTTGTGATTTTTTGGGTCATTATCTGAAGGTTGTTGTAATCGATTGATAAATTGAATACAAAATGAAAACCCAAATTTAAATTGAAATGTTTTGCTTACAACAAATTAACTACTCCAGAAAGTTTGCTATAAAAAAATTAGGATGCAGAGCTAGACCCAATATTCAGACAATTTTTTCGATTGTGTCGGGAAAACGACATGTACTGCATACGAGTTTGCTATAATAATTTTTTCAGTTCTAATACGAGTGCTATTGGGGCGCCCCTTTTTCTTCCGTCACATTTGTTCATTGTGTCAAACAATGTCCCCTTGATAAGCAGACCAATAATCCTCCTTTGCTAACACGGAGAAAGTATTGATGTACACACTTAAAATGCTCTTTACTGTGTAAACAGGGGATATATGTCGTATTGGATCCAAGCGAACATGCGAACATGTCGCTATGACATGAGAGCAAGGCATACAAATGCTTGAAACTTTCCGCAATCACACCAACTTCTATCTAGTTCGACCCGATAATATCCTCTTGGCCTCCCCTCATTATGATCTATTGTCTCTTGTACACTGAACCGACCTATAATACGATGACACTATGGGTGTTTGCTTTGGAAGCCTCCTCGTTAAATGATTTCATTGTGCATTCACTAAACAACTGCCCTGATTGTAACACTACCCTCCATTTTGAACTTCTTGTGTCGAACAATGACCCCATCCTAAAATATGTTGCTCTAACCAAAGCAGTAATTGGTAGGTTTCAGATGCCTTTGAAGACATAGTTCAATGATTCTACCAAATTTGTTGTCATGTGGCCCCATTGTTGACCATTGTCAAATGCCCGAGTCCACTTCTCCACTGAAATATTATCGATCCACCTTAATACTTATGAGTTTGTCAACCAGATTTCTTTGCGGTAGTGTTGAAAGGATGGTTCTGTTAAGGCATATCATGCATTAACAACTTTCTTTCAAAGTGTCTTGTCTTTGATATGGAGCATGAAGTTTTGTGTTATATGTCTAATGCAATAGACATGTGTTGAAGGGGGTCCTGCCAACCGTTATCATGGTTATTGTATGCACTCACAATTGATGGATGTCTGTCTGAAATCAAACAAAGATTGGGTTGAGGAGAAACGTGTAATCAGAGATTCTTCATAAAGAAATTCCATGCATCACCTGTCTCACATTCAACAAGAGCGAAGGCAATCAGAAAAACATTATCGTTTCCATCTTGTGCCACTGCCATGAGTAATGTTCCTTTATACTTTCCGTATAACCAAGTTCCATCAATTTGTATAATAGGTTTGCAAAATGCAAAACCTTTGATGCATGGTTCATACGCCCAGAACAATCGATGAAATATTTCATTTCCACTGACAAGAGTTCTGTCTTGGGTAAATGTCGGGTCTCTAACTCTTCTTTTGTATGGAATTTGTCTCAAACTTTCAAGGCCCCTTCGGTCTGCATATAAGGATTTGAAAGATGTCTGAGGCTGGTTCGTCTTCCCCCACATTCAAGCTCGTCATGTGAAACGGAGGGTCGTACGTATGACTCGTAAGTTGAGGTTCATGCTCTTGATCTTCATCGACATTATTGACCATAAAATCAATCATTGCATTATCATCATCTTCTTCTTAGTCAATAACATCGACTCGGGGTGGTTGTCCTCGTCAGATTCATCATCTTCTTCAAAATCTTGAGAAGGTCAATAACTTGACTTCTTGTTTGTCCGAAAGCGGATAAAATCGGTATTACGAAAATTAAAATTGAAGTTATCGCAGTTGAACGTCTCACTGTTAATATGAGCAACTACTATGGTATTGTGAATGATCCATATGTTGAGGTATATTTTTTGTGAGTTTTAGATGTATACCAATAATGTGTCATAAACAGATGCTTAAATAGACTGATGAAAGTATGAGGTGTATACCACTAATGCGTCATCTAATATGGATTCTCTTTTAACAATACAACACATGTGCCACCTAGGGTGGCTTGTCCTCAAAATTTTGTAAGCATGCGCCACCTAGGGTGGCTTGTCCTCCAAATTTTGTAAGCATGTGCCACCTAGGGATGAATTACAATAAATCCCCTAGAAATACAATAGTAGTCTACCGAAATCTTATTGATCATGTTGGACCCGAAGAGGTATTAAGCTTACATATTTTATACAACGCTTTTAATGGGTTAATTAAGTTTAATGGTAATATTAGATTAATACTCTTTTTCCTCTATAGTTTGTATGGAGGCCGTATAAGGATCTCGACCATGAGATTAACCCAGCAATGCTGAAGTCATGGATTGCAAAAACAGCGCTCATTAGGTTCACTACTGTGTAGATGCACCACAATGATCGTGTGAAGCTACATTTCAGCATGCAACAGGGTATCCCAGACTCCCTACATGTTTGGGACAATGGCATCTACTCAGAGTTGACGACCAATGGGAATTTACTGATTCGAGAAACTTCACTAGAAATCAATGTCGTCAATGGAAGCATTGACGTGAATTAGTCCTAAGGGAGACGATCTCGCAAGATGACTTAAAACCAACTCTTCAATATTTGACATGGTACAGATCGGTTTCAACAAATTTTTTTCTGTCTCATGAGACATATTTGATCGACCCATGCCAAAGAGCTGCATCATACGCCCAACAACAATCCCAACATCCAACCCTTAATCAATACCAAACCCAACAACAATGTCAACCCACTCAAACCCAACAACCATACACCATCACATCCAACCAAATTTGTCATGAATTCATGTCACACACATAAACACAATACCAAGAGCATGACCCAACCCACCACTAATAATATGCACCCTCCACATCCTACCAAAACACCCAAGACACGTATGATACCTCTCCTTCCTACCATACCACTCAACCTACATACAGTCAAACATCACACCATCTAAGTACCTAACCATCATACAAATTTCATACACCACAAGAATCGTTGCTTCGTTTCCAAAACGATTCAACATCCCAATACTATCAACCACCCTACCGACACATATCCCAACTGTTGCACCCCAAAATTTACCCTCTCATTTTACTCAATAAATGTCAAGTGAGATCCCCAATTTGCTCAAGGTTGCCCAAGAGTTGACCAGACAAACTCTCTCAAAAGGCAGTATACCCCAAATTAGGGTTTCTATTTTCATCAAGATGGGTGGACCACAAATGTCTCATATGCTTTCCAAGGTCTTATTATGTTCCCAAGACCCTACATGTCAAGTTTCATGCATTTCACAAGAAGTTTGCCCAGCCAACTGCTCAGATGCTTGAGAATCGACTATACTAGGTCAAAAGTCAGTTGTGGCCCACATACAGTCAAACCTCAAGATTGTTGGTAAACACCAATATTTTGAATTGACTTCCATCATTTGATCAAGGGTTGATCATGATTCCTCAAAGAATGCTCCAAATTCATCAAAACCCAAAAGTTGCTAAATTAGGGTTTTGCAGGAAAAGTCAACCCAACTTTGACCAAGCATAACTTTCACATGCTTTATCAGAAATTTTACATCAAAAGCTCATTTTGAAGAGAATGCAATTCCCTACAATTAATATTCATCCCACAAGTTCAAAATATGCACTCACAAAAAGATATGAATTTTGACATTATAGGTCCTTTTGAAAAGTCAACAAAAACACCTTTTGGGTCAAAGCTTCATACATGAACATGGAAGATCCAATTGAGATAAGACAAAAATGGTTGGTTAGGGGACACCCTAAGCTTTCTAAAAAGTCCAATAACACCCTCCTAGGGTCAAAATTGAGAGATTTGTGCATTGTCAAAGTTGGCAATTTTTGGAAAATTGTCAAAAGTCAACATTGATCAAATTTGCATTTTTTCCAAAGGGGCCCATGTTTTCTTGCTTGAAACATGTTTCTAATAGGACCCATGACCCCTGAGATTTTCCACCTATTTTTTTATTACTTTTATCATTTATTTTGATTTTTTATTCATTTAAATCAAAATAAATCAAATTAAATGGTAAAAAATGAAAACAAATCAAATCTTGAGATTTTTATGCACATTTTGAGTCCATGTACAGCTAGCATGACAACAAATTCGTGCAAGGTTCATTAAGATTGAAAAAGATTGGA